TGTAGCCCAGGCTGGCTTTGAACTCACAGCGATCCTCCTGCCTCAGCCTCCCGAGTGCTGGGATTACAGGCATGCGCCACTACACCCAGCATCCCAAAGTATCTTTTCAGGTACAATATTTCTGTGAGGTGCTTTTTACAGAGGTTCCATGGTGAAATACTTTGGGAACCACTGCATTCTGTCTCACTCTGGAAAATTCCCATTATGCAGTGAGGAGACTCAATGAGCACTTTTTTTTTGTACCGGGAATCGAACTCAGGACCTTGCTCTTGCCAGGTCCTGGCGCTCATGCCGATGAGCTATATCCCCGGCCCCATGAGGGGGACTCACTGAATGATTTTCTACCCTGCTACTTAGATCTCAGATCCCCTAAAACACTGGTTTATAGCCCACTGGCCCAGGCATAACCTGGAGCGCCAAAACCACCTCCTTGGTTCCTGTTTCTGAACCCAGGTTGGACTCATGCAGTGGCAAGGCTGTGGTTCTCAAGCATGAACTGATGCAAAACCTTAAGTGGCAGAGGATTCTTTCAGTTGAGCGGTGCTGGTCCAGATGCCATCCGCAGTTTGCTGGTTGAAAGCACAGCATTTGGTCCCTGCAGACCTTCAGACCAAGTGTTTACCTCAGGCAAGGGCCACCTTCTTACTCCTCTGGCTGTCACTCCACGATGGTCCCTTCCATGTCCCTGAAGGGTGGCAGCTTGAGAAAAGGTGAAAGCAGGACCTTCCTAGGAGCCTGAGGTGTAGGAAAGGAGAAGCCAGCGCTCCTGGGCCAGGTGCCCTGGGTACGCACTGCTCCCTCAGAGTAAGATCCCGCGGGCTACAGCCCCAGGTATTCTGCCAGGAACACGGCTAAGATGCGGCTGAGGTTGTGCACGGTGGGTGGGTGGAGATTGGCCTCCGTGTCGCCAGGCGTGTGCCACACAGAGGGGAAAGGCGTAGCGATGAGGTGCAGCACTGGGACCCCTGTGGGTGAGAGGACACCGTGTCAGGCCTGCGCCCCACCACAGACCCAGCCAGGCGTAGGCTGGGTAACCTTACCTCCCCCACCCCCAAACCCTCTGTTGCAGCACTTTCTGAGCCCTGAACGTGAAGTGTGTGAAGGTACTTGTTGTTTCCGTAACATTAGAAAATTCAAAATTAATGGGTCGTGAAGAGATCAGAGGAGGAAGGAGGTGTCCTCGACCCTGCATGCCAGGTACCCACGAGGCCCCCGTAAGCTAGGTGCTGGGCCACGCACACACCATTCCATCCTTTCAGTGAACCCTTTACCTTCATTTTACTTTGTGACATGAAGTCTCACTATCTTGCCCAAACTAGCCCCAAATTTCTGGGCTCAGGCTGCCCCTCGCATTCACTGAATGAATGAATAAAAGAGGCATTGGGTGTAGCTCAGTGGTAGAGTGCCTGCCTAGCACATGCAAGGCCCTAGGTTCTGTCCCCACCACTGAAAAAATAAACAGTAAGGCATTCTAAGGAAGGTATTCTTGTGGGAAGACTAATTGCAAAGTAGTTTTAAGCACCTGCTATGTACCAAGACTGTGTAAGCAGGCATTTTATAGACCTGATCTCATCATAATTCTCTCATGAATATACATGTGCATATGTGTTTGGTCTGTATATATATCCTCCTTTTCCTGAAGGAATGGGGGCTTTGCTTTAAGTCAGCCAGTGGCAAGTGCAGATCCTAGAACTCTGACTGGTCATTCTACAATGTACAATGGTAGCTTAGTGCTAGAGCACTTACATGTGTGAGATCCTGGATCCCTTTTTTTTTTTTTGTACCAGGAATTGAACTCAGGACCTTGTGCTTGCCAGGCAGGCACTGGTGCCGCGGAGTTATATCCCTGACCACCACCACCACCTCTTTCTGAGAAGGGTCTTTCTCTGCAGTTCAGGCTAGCCTTAAACTCACTATGTAGCTCATGCTGCCCTTGACCTTCAGGTGATCCTACCTCAGCCTCAGAAGTGCTGGGATTACAAGCTTGCATTACCACACCTGGCTTTTTTGTTGTTTAAACAAGTTCTCTTAATAATCCAGGTTGGTCTTGAACTGACATGTAACCCAGGCTGGCCTCAAACTTTTGGCAATCCTCCTGCCTCAGCCTATTGCGTGCTGGGATTATAAGCATGCTCCACCATGCTCAGCTAAAACCCACATTCTTAACCCCTATACCAGATGTTTTTAACCCTGACTGTGTGTAAAAGTTATGTATGAACTTTCAGTAGGCCTGAAATATGATCGGGCATTTTTTGAAGTTTCTTTGGTGATTCTACAGAGCTTCCAGGGCCTTGAAAGAAAAGCAAGAATACATACTGTTTAAAAAAAAAAAATACATATTGTGCTGGGGATGATTCCACATGCCTGTAATCCAGCACTCAGGAGGCTGAGCCACGAGGATCACCATGAGTTTGGGACCAGTCTGGGCTACATAGTGAATTCAAGGCCAGCCTGAACTACCTGTCTCAAATACAAAACAAAGAATACATGTTGTCATCATTGCAGCATGAATCATAATAGTTAACATTTCTTCAGTGCCTGCCATGTGCTGGACACTGATCTAAACAAGTTCTTTACACAGCGGCACATTTGGCATCTTCAGGACTGTGCGACACCATTTTACAGATGGAAACATTGAGATATGAAGAGGGGAATGACTTGCCACCAGTCTCCAGCACTGGAAGGGGCGAGGGCCAACCCAAGCTGTGACTTCCTTGGACACTGCCCCCATACCTCCCTGTGTGGGGCAGTACCTCTGCGGAGGAAGGGGATGTGGTCATCTTCCACAGAGCCGGGCGGCTCCCCGGGCTGGAAGTACATCACTTCCTGGGGGTGAGCCTGCAGCAGGTTCAATCGATGTAGACGCTTCTCTATAGGGGGTAGGAGTGAGAGAGCAAGACTTAGTTCTCAGCAGCCTGGGACCCTCGCCTCTTATGGATATGAGGGTCCCAGAGATAAAAGCACTGGTTATCCCAACATGAATGAATGTGTTTGTCCTTCCTGTGGTTTACTATGTTCCTGGTGTTACTTAATCCCTGTGGTCTAGAGGTAGATTATTATTAGGGTCATGCCCATTTTACACATAGGAAACTGAGACTCAGAGTAATGAAGCTTCTTGTTTGTTTTTTGTTTTTTTGTTTTTTTCTGGTACCAGGAATTGAACTCACGACCTCATGCTTGCCAGGCAGGCGCTGTGCCGCTGAGCTAAATCCCCAGCCCCTAATGAAGCTTCTTAACCCAAGGGGTAAGAGGCAGACCCAGGATTTGGAACCAGAGCTGTCTCACACCAGGGCAGCTACTTTATAATCACCACACTTGACATTCGTGGGATGAGGGTGTGATTCTGCCCTGGTTCCTTAAAGAGAGATGAGGGAGGTGGTGGGAATGTTGGATGAGCCCTTAGAGGACATGTGCCTGGCCCTCCCTCCCACATCCCAGGGTGGCGCCTGGCTCCGCCTTCATGCTCACCGATGCTCCGCAGCCGGTGGAACCAGCGGACCGTGTGGGGGAAGTGACTGTAGAAGGTCGGACTGGGGGCTCCCAGGAGATCAAGCAGCATAAAGAGCTCCTAGGGAGAAGGCAGGACTGGAGGGGGCTGAGCAGGACCCTGCCAACCCCACTGCACCTTCTCCCCCTCTCGTCAGAACGCAGCAGGACCCTGGTCTTACAATGGCCTGGATCCTGGTGGGGCCAGGACTGTGGGGCATAGACGCCATGAGCTGGGCTAGGTGCCGGGAGCCATAAAGGGAGTCCTTGGGTCCCCACTCCTCCAGCGCCTCTTCACCATCCAAGAAAAGCAGCTGCAAGGTCACTGGGGCTGCCTGTGGGAGCAGGTGGCCAGAGCCAGCTCAGTGCCAGCCCTCAGCATCAACCCACCCATGTGCCCTGCCCATGTGCACAGCTGGACAGGACAAACTAGGTGTCCTTGCTGTACAATGTGGGGCCAGGAGCACAGATGAAGCCAGGCTGCTTGGGCTCAAATCCACAGCCAGCTGCTTTGTAGAGGTGTAGATACAGGCAAGTGACCAACTTCCTGAAGCATCGGCTTGATCATCTATAAATGGGGTTCATGACAGTTCTATTCATAAATAGGACTCAAATGCAGGGCTTAGAATGGATGAGACAGGAACCAAGGGACTTATTTTACAGTTGCTAGAAAGAGGTCTCTGAAGAGATAACTTTGGAGTGGACACCTGAATAAAAGGTGAGAGCCAGTCAGGAAGGAGGAAAAAAATATTGATTGGTTGATTGATTGATTGACTGAGATAGGGTCTCACTATGTAGCCCAGGCTGGCCTCAAACTGTAGAAGGTCATAGATTGGGATTGTAGAGAGGACTGTAGAAAGCAATCTTCTTGCCTCAGCCTCTTGAGTACTAAGATTACAAGCACTATGCTGGTTTAAAAAAAATAAAATAAAATAAAGCCACCATTCTGCTGGCACTGGCCATAGTGGTGCACACCTGTAATCCTGGCACTCGGGAGGCTGAGGCAGGAGGATTGCTACAAGTTCGAAGCCAACCTGGACTATATAGTGAAGCCCCATCTCAAAAAAAGAAAACTATTCTATTCAGAGCCAAGAGCAAGTGCAAATGTCCTGAGGTGGGCTTGAGAGACCAGAGGGTGGGTGTGACTGTGGAAAGTGAGTAAGGTGAAGGGCAAGAGATGAAATTAGAGGGGTAATAGGGCACACCTCAGGGGACAATATAAGAACTCTGGTTTATGCTTTGAATTGGGGGAGCCATGGGAGGGTTTGGGCAGAGACAACAGGATCTGACATTCAGAAGACAAGGATAGGCTAGGGATATAGCTCAGCTGCACAAGCACCTGCCTGGAAAGCACAAGGTCCTGAGTTCAATTTCTGGTACAAAAAAAAAGGCAAGACAGAAGGTGGGTGCATGGACTCGGGTTGACGTGGCCCACCCCTCTCCCACTCCCATTCCTCACCTGCTGCTTGGCCCTGCTCAGCAGCAGATCAAGGGCCCGGGCCAGCTCCAGTAGCAGCGCACAGGGCACAGCTGAATCTGTGGCTCCCACAAAAGGGGCTGAGCCCGGGGGGAAGAGCTTCGAGTCGTAGTGGCAGGCAAGGGTAAGGTGACGGGCAGCCCCTGGGTCCAGCGTAGCCACCATGTTCCCAAAGTCCAATGGCCCCAGAGGCGTTGAGGCTGTGAAGGGATCCAGCTCCACCTGCCAGCCAGCTGTCAGGGACCGCAGTGTGGATTCCAGGAACTAGGGCAAGAGAGAGGTGGGAGGGTGGACAGGGACTGGGGAGGTGGTGGGGAGAAGCGCCATGTGACCTGAGCCATGGAGAGCAGTCAGGTAGACTCAAAAGTCCCACTAGGGTTAAATTATTCCCTTGACTCACTTCTGCCCAGTACCTACTGGGTGCCAGATGCTGGGCTCACCCACCTCCTGATGCCAACCATGCTAACCATGGCTTATTGTTTAGCAGCTCTTGTTAGGTGCCAAGCCCTGTTGTAGGAGCCTATAGACAATGCCAGTGAATGACTCCATTTTGCAGAGGGGGAAACTGAGTCCCAGACAGGTTAAGAAACAGCCTCCTGCAATGATGCACATCTGTAATCCTAGCACTGGGGAGGCTGAGGCAGGAAGATTGCAAGTTCAAGCTCAGCCCCAGCAATTTAGTGACTTAAAAAGACCATCTGGAATTTTTTTTGTCTTTTTGAGACAGGGTCTCACTATGCAGCTCAGGCTGGCCTTGAGCTCACTATGTAGCCCAGGCTGGCCTCAAACTTGCAAGGATCCTCCTGCCTCAGCCTCCCGAATGCTGGGATTACAGGCCTGCGCCAGCATGCCCAGCTGAAATTTTTTTGAAAGGGGTGGTGGTGGTGTAGCTCAGCTCTGTGTGAAGGCTCTGGGTTCTATTTCCAGCACCGCCACCACCAAAAAAGAAAGGAATTAGTCTAGGGTGAGGTGGGAGCAGACACAGTATCTGAAAGGCAACATAGTGATGTGACACCACTTATTAGCTGTGAAACCTATGGAAAAATGTATAACCTCTCTGGGCCTTGGTTTCACCATCTGTGTGAAGGTCACACTGGTTCTCCCCGCCTGGGGGTGTCCGTGTCCATTGCTTGTCCCTAGTACATACTTTGCTTTGGGTGGGAGAAGTACAGCTGCTGGTTATGTGGGACTCTAGAGTCAGATTAACTCCTGTCAGAGCCCCAGTTCTGCCTTTTACCTCCTCTGAGATCTTGGACAGCAGGTCTACTTCCCATTTCCTAGAGGGCGGCGGGGGTTGGGGTGTGTGTGGTGGTTTGGTCAGAACCTGGAGATAGGATGAGAGGCCTTTACCTTTCTGACTTGGAGATTACCGGGGCTACCCGGGGTTCGCACAATCAACAGAGGACGCAGATAAGTAACCCAGAGCCGCTGCGGATCCAGCTGTCCCACCACCTTCCGCAGCTTGGCTTCCGGGAGGTTTCCAACCAGCGGAGCCTTGGGGGTTGGTAAGATGGGGAAGAGAAGATGAGAGCAACCCCCCATTCTGACCCTCCCCCGGGCGCCATTGCAGCCATGAGCCCAGGATCCCCTTGGTAATGAGCAGCCTCCAGCATGTACAATAAATACTAGACTCGGTAAAGGTTCCTCTAAGCCCATTTCGTCAAACTACCGTAATCCTCACGGACAGACAAATCAAAACGCGGTGGGAGGAAGGGGTTCTTCCAAATAATTGACCTGAAGTGTGGAACCCAGACCTCTCAAACTCACTACAGAAGAGCAGACCTTCCTCTTAAGAGGGTGCTGCTATTACAGAAGGATCGAAGCCTTCTTGGGTACGGAGCATGCGCTCAAATGACAGAGAAAGAAGGAGGCACCTGCGGCTAGGGTGACACGATACAGCCACGTCAACCTGAGACTGTAGAAGGGGAAGTGGGAAATGGGGGTCCCCAGGGTGCCCAGAGCCCCGACAGGCCTCACCCGCAACTCCCGGCCCCTTGACAGCTCCTCAGTCCCGCGGTGCCAGCCGCTCCAGATGATGTAGAGCGCCAAGCCCACGGCCGCGGCTAGCAGCAAGTGCAACAGCTGCGCCCGCGGTAGCAGGCGGCGCTTGGGCAGGGAGGGTGGCTCTAGGAGGCCGCGTTCGCCTAGCCGCAGCCGGGGCCGCCCGCGGCCTCCGGATCGCATGGCAGCTATGCTTGAAACGTGTACTGGGACGCGGAAGGATTTAGGCCCCGCCAAGTTCCACCCAAGGAATCACAAAGCCAATGAGCAACAAGAGCGGTTGCACATCCCACCCAGCGAGCCTTGAAACCAATAGCATCCTGAGGGCACGCCTCCTTGCCGCTCTCGGGTGTTGGCGTTGGTTTCCCTCAGGGCTGCACAACCCAAAAGGGAGCGCGAAAGGGGTAGGGACAGCCTCCGAGGGGAGAAAGCCAATGAGCAGCGTTTGATCGTAGAGACAACCACAATTCTCCAGCACAGGTCCAGGTCCCTTCCGGATGTAGGATTGTTCATGCCAGGTCTGAAAGATCAATTGTCACTTAAGGGATCCATGCCTGAAGGAAAAAAGCGGTGCGCATCCCTGAAGCTACGAGCGGATTGGCTTCGCCGAGGCCGCGCCCCCGAAGACAGGGCAGGCATGTGTGCCGCTTTTCTCCTTTATTTTTCTTTTCCATTGTGGAGCACATCTGTCTTGTATTGTCCTGAGTGGCTTCGAACCACAACGTTAGGCTTTTACCCCAGAACTGCACTGCTGGAGGGGTAGCTATGGCAACAGGCCACGCCCCACCCGCTATTTGGGTTTGCGCAGGCGCTAACGGAAGTGAGACACCGGAAGCGGAAGTCCTCCCTTTCTTCTTGCCTCTGAGGCCGAAGTAACGCAGGGGAGACGAGAATAAGCGGAGGTTGCGGCTTCCACCATGTGAGACCCGGCTGGGTTTAAACGGGAGGAGGGAGGTTGAGGGTGTAAACTTGGCTAAGTAACTGTGGGACAGGATGAGCAGGGCCGGAGGCGGAGGTAGAGATTCGGGATAAAGTGGCGTACTTTCCTACTGAGGGGTTCGAGCACGGGTATGGGGCCCCTAACGGGTCATGGCGAGGGGACATCTTAATCACTTACCGGGCTGGGAGCTCTCGCAGATATTCTTGTTGAAACGAATTTTAAGTGGAAGCGATTTTTAAGAATAAAGAACCCGAAGGGGCTGGGGATTTAGCTCAGCGGCACAGTGCCCGCCTGGCAAGCGCAAGGTCGTGAGTTCGATCCCCGGTACCGGGAAAAAAAAAAAAAAAAGAATAAAGAGCCCGGGGAGGAAAGTAAAATTTATTATTAATAGCGATTTGGGGCAAGGGATTTATCCGGATAATTTAAGCTGCTGGCGGGTAGGTTTTCGACCTGATTTGAGACTGACGATAATGAGCCACTGGAATGATTTTGCTGTTTATTTGTGCGGTGGATAATATTACATTGAGTCTGCACGTGTCAGGCCCTGCGTTAAACGCATGGGGTACATCAGGTGATTGAAAGGTCCTCATCCCAAGAACATTTCCTGCCATGGGTTATGAAGGGCGCAAGGTACTCATAGAATAATAAAGGAGTATGTGGTGTGTTAGGTGTACGGGGCTGTTAATAAATAGTTGAGTACGCCTGTAATTCCAGCACTCAGAAGGCTGAGGCAGGAGGATTGTCACGAGTTTGAGACCAGCCTAAAATAGTGTAGCTGTGCAACAACAACGGGAAAAGACAACAGTGTAGTAACTGTCACAAAAGGACACATTGAGAAGGAAACACTTGAGCAAGGACCTGAAGAAAGTGAGGGAGTGAAGCATACAGATATCTGGTGGTTCCAGGCCAGGGTAAAAGCAAACAGAGGCCTTAAGATGGAAGTTTGCCTCCTGTCTTCAAAAGAGCCCCCAGGACGCCGCCGGCTGGAACAGTGTGGGAGAGGAGGCAAATGTAGGGCATTGTGAAAACTTCGGTTTTCCTTTTGCACTGAGATGGGAGCTATGGAAAGGCTTCAAAGGGTGACATAGGATTTAGGTTTTAGCACAACCCTTCAGACTGGTCTGTGAAGGAGACTGTCGGAAGCATGGGTGGAGGCAAGGAGACCAGTAAGACGCCGGGAGAGAGATGATGGAGGTTTAGGATGTGGAAAAGAAGTGGCCAGAGTCTGGCTCTACAGTGGTAGCCCGGTTCATATACTTAATTCTTTCCACTATTCTGGTTGAAAACCGAATGGGACGAGAACCAAATCAAATTAAATGGTAGGTTCAGTGTTGACTTTATGGGGAAATTTGATTCTAAGAGGTAGATCTCAGGATTTGCCAATAGATTTGATGTAGGGTATGAGAGGACAAGAGATGTCACATGGACATCAAGAGTATTTACCTAAAAAACTAAGGGGGTGTGCTGGGTGTGGTGGCACACACCTATAATGCCAGCACTGGGAAGGCTGAGGCAGGAGAATCATTGCAAGTTCAAGGCCAACGTGGGCTACAAAGTGAGCTCAAGGCCAGCCTGAACTGCATAGTGAGACTCTGTCTCAAAAAGACCAAAAAACAAAAAAACAAAAAAACAATAGCAACAGTAGTGGGGTGGAGTTGCTGTCAGTGGGGATGGGGAGCACTGTGGATAGAGTGGGTTAGAATGGTCAGGTAATCTGGAGCTCAACCTGCGAGAGAGTTGGAAATGTCTATCAGGTATCAGGTGCTTGTGACCAGAGAGAAGACTCAAGCATCAGTGTGGGTGTTGGGGCAAGGTTGGGGAGGCACTGAGCACAAAGCCTTGCTCCCAGCCTAAGCCGCTCTCACCTATGGGTCCATCCTTGACTGTTCAGGAGCCTCCTCAATAAGCCCAAGAGTGAGATGACCCCAGAGGAACTGCAGAAGCGGGAGGAAGAGGAATTTAACACAGGTCCACTCTCTGTGCTGACCCAGTCAGTCAAGAACAACACCCAGGTGCTTATCAACTGCCGCAATAACAAGAAACTTCTAGGCCGAGTGAAGGCCTTTGACAGGTGAGCACCAAGGGCTTGGGAGGTGTCATGTCCAGGTCTGGAGAAGCAGCTCCAGCTCCTGCCTGAGGAACCCGAAGAAAGATTTCTTCGAAGTGTAGGTGGGTGCCGGGTGTGGTGGCGCATACCTGTAATCTCAGCACTGGCGAGGCTGAGGCAGGGGGATCACCAGGAGTTGAAGGCCAGCCTGAGCTACATAGACCCTGTACCCCTCCAAAAAAGAAGCTTGGGTATGGAGTAGGGAGAAGCATTTTAAAACCATGAATGAGGTGTGGCTGTCTCTCTTTGCCTCTCCAGCTGTCCACGCATGTGTCTGGTAGCCAGCCTGTTGGGCTTGTGTCCCAGCTGTGTCTCATAGCAGCCAGGTGCCTTTTGGTGTGTAACTTTTTGGTCTGTGCAGTGGTGGTAATTGTGGTGGGTACAGATTTAGTGACTTAATACATGTAAAGTGCGTAATGCAGTGTGTGACGTGCAGAACACTCAGTCAGTTTCACAGTTACTATATAATTAGAGCATCTCCCCACCTAGGGACTGTTTCAGCCTTTGGACATAGCAGTATCTAAAACAAACATGGTTCCTGTATGCAGAGAGCTTATGCTGTCAGTGAGTAAACTGGCAGCAAGCATATGAATGTGTGTAATAGGTGTGTTGGGTTCTGTGAAGAAAAGCAAACGCAAGTCACAGAACAAAGTATTGGGAAGGGGACGCTGCCTCATATGGGGTAATCTCAGAGGCCCTGCCTGAAGAAACAGTGTGGACAGACCCAAGTACACTGAAGCTGCAAGCCCAGGTCTTTGTGGATAGCCAGAGGGAACAAGTGATTTTTCCTTTCTGGGATTCAGTTTTCTCCTCTGAAAAGTAGACATAATAGTACCCTTCACTGGAAAGTTGTAAGAATAAATGATGTACCTGGGCATGGGGACACGGTTTGGGGGTCTGAAATCCCAATGCCCCAGGAGGTCGAGGCAGGAAGATCGAAAGTTCAGACTTAGCCTGAGCACCTTAGTGACTTAGAGTAAGACCCTGTCTCAAAATAAAAAACGAAAAGGCCTAGAGATACAGCTCAGTGTGAAGCCCTGGGTTTGTTCCCTAGTGCCGCCAAAAAAAGAGCACAAATTACAGTACTTGTGAGAAGGACTTGGCTTACTACTGAGCACATGATAAGCACTCAATAAAATATAATTTGTAACCTTTGCCCCCCTCCCCCTGGCACTGGGGAGTGAATCCAAGAGCTTGCTACCATGAGCTAAACCGCCAGGCTTTTTCAATTTTTGTTTTGCGACAGGGTGTCTTACTAAGTTGCCCAAGCTGGCCTCCAGCTTGTAATCTTCTTGCCTCAGCCTCCTGATCGGCTGGGATTACAGCTCTGTGCTGCTGTGTGTGGCCGTAACTTGCAGCCTTTTATTAGCATTCGGGAAGTGCTTTCCTCACACCAGTGTGAGGCTAAATTTGAGAATGTTCTTGCCGCTGACTGTTGTGTGACCGTGACCTGGTCTTTCACTCAGAGCCTCTTTCCACTTGAGGCAGCTGAGGGCAGGAACAACAGGAAGTGCTGAGCACAGGAAGTCAGTAGACCTGGACTCAGACACAGGCTCTGCCACCTCTAAATTGTGTGGCCTTGCATAGCTCACTGGGTCCCACTGTTCCTCAGTTTCCTGCTTTTGAATCTGGAGATAAAAGTGTTCACATGTTTTTTATTTTAGAAGTTGACTTTTCCTTTCTCCCAAGCTGCTTTGGCCTCCATCAGCTTTCCACTCGACCCAGCCCGCCACCCTGTTGTGCCACGTTTACACACACTTCACTGTCACACGTGCAGAGGACCCTGTGGTGGTGGTAGCTGTGCTCGTGTGTTGTGGTGTCGGAACTTCACAGAGGTGTAACTGACATAATAAGTTGTTTTTAAAGTAGAACCTTCCATAAGCTTTCTGCATCTTGTTTTTTATACATTATCAACATCTAAAAACATCACAGCACATCAGCCAAGGCATTCTTTATCACACACCCCACCCATTTATTTGCCTAATTGTGTTATTTTCTTGAGGGGCAGTGTTTACAGGTGAGGCAAAATTCCAAAGGTAAATAAAAGGCACCCAGTGAAACGTCTCTCTCCTCCCCTCCTCCGCCACCTCCTCGGGGACCACCAGTGTGGCTAATTTCATGGCCTTTCTCCCAGGCTTCTTGCTTCACCATCGCACCACACATAAGGAGAGATGCAAGGGCCCTTTATAGTTTGTTTTAAGTCAGTGCTTGTGAGACATCAATTTTTTTGTTTGTTTTTTGGTCCTGGGAATTGAACTCAGGACCTCTTGTTTGCCAGGCAGGCGCCATGCCACTGAGCTATAACCCTGGCCTGAGACATCAGTTTTAGACTGTGGCTTTTTCATTGAATAAAACTTGAAAATTTCCCCCATTGGGAATGCTACTTTTTTTTTTAACTTACTGTTTTTTAAACTGATAATGTATTCCCATAACTCCCAAAACTAATAATCCAATGAAAAGTTTTCCGGGCCCATCCCCAGTTTACCTAGCCCATCCCTTGGCCACTGCTTTTCCAAAATCTTTCAGAGGCTAAGCTTAGTGGCACGGGTCTGTGATTCCAGCACTCAGGAGGCTGAAGCAGGAGAATTGCTATTTGAGGCCAGTCTGAACTATATAGTGAGACCCTGTCTCAAAGAAAATCAAAAATCTTCCATAGGTGCTACATTGTATAAATGAACAAGTAGCGCTTCTCCAACCCCCAGTGCCTCCCCCACCTCCCCTCTGTGTTTTGCTTTGCTTTGCTTTGCTTTGCTTTGCTTTGCTTTTTGGTGGTGGAAATGGAATCTGGGGCCTTAGGCATGCTAGGTGTGTACCACTGAGCTGTACCCACCAGCTTGCTATTTTTCCTGGTGAATGTAATTTTCTGTCTATCCTGGTCCCTAGCCTGCCTTCTCGTTTCACAGTATCTTCTGGAGATTCCTCCATAGCAAAACAAAGAGTGTACCCCCAACCTTTTTTTTTTTTTTTTTTTTGAGATTGGGTTTCACTATGTAGTTCAGGCTGGCCATATGAACTTGCGGTCTTCCTCTTTTTTTTTTTTTTTTGTCTTTTTGAGACAGGGCCTCGTTATGCAGTTCAGGCTGGCCTTTAGCTTACTTTGTAGTCCAGACTGGTCTCAACTCCTCCTGCCTCAGCCTCCCGAGTGCTGGGATTACAGGCGTGCACCACCACGCCCAGCTGAACTTGCAATCTTCTTATGTCAACTTTTTTCTTTTTTCTTCTACTTCTTGAGTAAGTGCTAGGATAATAGGCGTACACCATGCCCTCTGTCTCTCTTACTGCTCAGTAATATTCCCATCAGATGTACATACTTGGCTTGGTTAAACCAGCAACCTCTTTAAGAACTAAAATGACTCTTTGTAGCAGTTACCACCACCTGACAGTATGTTACAGGTCTCTGTGCATGTCTACTTTCTTTTTTTTTTTTT